ACCTCTATTAAGCGGTCACTTGGCTAAGTCCCGTGGGTGACCGCTTAATAGAGGTTCGACTGTACTCTTATACAGTGTTTCATGTTTCTGTGACCTAACCAACTCAGATGTCCAGGCATTTTGGCTTCTGTCAATCAATTTTACAATGGCCGTGTGCATTCCCATCCATTCTGGTTGCAAGCAATAAATATTCACAACAACTATGCCAGCCTTGATTCATTGATATGTTATTGATTTAGTCTTTCTTTTTTTCTTGTGAAAAACAGAAAGTGACTCTGACGATGCCATACCAATGTAAGTAATATTTTATTACCCGGTATCTAAGTCAGACAGCTTTTAAAATTTCTTTGCAATAGACCTCTCACAAGGAGCCAATAGCAGCTTTGCATTATCATGTGACGGCAGCCATGTTAGATGCCAGGAACAATACAATCATTTTACATGAGAACAAATTCAATTCCCAAGAGCACAGGGATTTTATTGTTCTGCCATCTAACTACAGGCAGTTCAAGCTGGATTTTGGTGCCAGCACGTGATGGTGCAAAACCTCTATTTATCTGGAACAAGAGATTTTTGCCCAATGAGACTCACATTGAAGCACTTTGGGATGAGTTTGTCTGAATGGGCAGAAACAAGTTCTTTAATTCTCGTGGCAATAAACATGGATGTTGTGTGACTAAGGTCTATTTATAGAACTTTCCTGGTATTTGCTTGAGTGACTTGCTTGGTTGTACTTGATTATTAAGTTTCAAGAAATGGATGACAACATGAAGTTTAGACTATGTTTTAAGAGTGCAAATTAAGATTAGCCTTTGCAGGGCTAGGAAGTAATGGCTAGTCAATGGACAATGTCCAACCAAAATTTTTACTTGTTGATCCAAAGGCCGCTTAATTTGGTCCTATTTTACTGGTCCAGGGCTAGGAAGTAATGGCTAGTCAATGGACAATGTACGACCAAATTTTTACTTGTCTATCCAAAGGCCCCTTTATTTGGTCCTCTTTTACTGGGTCATATTAAATTCCTAGTCACATGTTGATTAGTCTATTGTAAAGTACTACTTAGCTTTGTTAAACTCCTCAATGATAACAAAAACTCATAGCAAATGTTATTCTTTTCAGAAGGAAAAATCAAGATAACCAGGTAATTATTAACCGAGCGGGAGGTCTGTACGGGATAATCTTGACCGAGGTCGGAATGTACAGACCGAGTGCAGCGAGGTCTGTACCCGACCGAGGTCAAGATTATCCCGTAAAGACCGACCAAGCTCGGTTGATAAGAGTTTTATTATATGACCACTTTTCATTAAAAAGGACAAAATGTTTTCGCCGTAAGATTAATATGCGATCAGACCGGTTATTACCGGAGAATCTAGACCACTCCGCGATGCGATCTATCCAATCAGATTGCTCGATTTTCTAGTGTCCAGGCTCTAAGATTCACGGTCATATAATAATCCCCGATATTAACTGAGGCTAAGGCAAATAATTGTTTTAGTATAAATAGACAAAGTGGCAGGCCGCCATTTTGGATTATCGCTGAAGGCGATTATCGTGTGATAGTGTGAGTTTCTCGACCAATCAGCGCGCAAGATTTTCAATAATCACCTGTGTATTTTTACTAATGTTGAATATATCATAATCTATATCATAGATGAAGAAACAATTGGCAGAGAAACCTCAGGTAAACCAAGTCAATGGAGCAGTTCAACCAGAAATGAAGAAACGAAAAAGAAAGGAAAGAGATAAAAAAGAACCAGACCAAGCAAAAAGAAAAGAGGTAAGTCTTGTTTTGCTTGGGAATTATTATTATTATTATTATTTATTATTATTATTATTATATTATTATTATTATTTATTATGATATTAATTTGTATATACATTTACACTTATTTTGTACTTATTTTAATAGTTTTTATTTCATAGTTAGTATAGGAAATCGCGCGATCTCGAGTACAATTTGGAAATTAATAGACACGAGTAATGTTTTGAAAGTACTTGTAATTACACGAGCCTTTAGGCGAGTGCAATTAAAGAACTTTCAAAACATTACGAGTGTCTATTAATTCCAAATTGTATGAGAAGATCGCGTGATTTTTTGTTTATAGTTCACTCAACAAAATTTCAGTAAAAAATGCGAAGCGACGCCGTTCATCTTTGTCTATTTGGCGGGCGATTTTCAGTCCATCGCGCAACTGAAATGCATAAAAAAGATTAGTTCTTACGGCTTTAAAATTTTATTTATATGTTTTTTAAGTACAAAATGATAGAAAATAATTGTTTTGACATTGTTTTGGCTGTGTTGCCATAGCGACTTAATTTAGTACTCCTACGGAGTACAATTAACGCTATAATTGTACTCCTCTCTACCAATCAGAGTCGAGTAATTTTGTTATGTGTACTATAAGTGCGATAACTGTACATTGTGTACATTTGTACATTATAAATTTAGATGTAGATGTAGAATTATTTATTACCAYTTTGTATGTCTATATTTGTGGATTTTATTTAATTAATTATGGTTTTTTAATGTTTGGTGAATATTTAGGCACTAGAGGTAACAGAGGGCCCTCAGAAGAGAAGAGACCTTACCTTTGCACTCAAACAGGTGAAAAGTCTAAGTATAATGCTCATATTGGATAGTTGAGTAGTTAAGACATTGGGCAAATGGATGACTAAGTTGGTTGAATGGTCAGTCCCCCCGTAACCCCTTTAGACACTCTTAATTTGTCCAGTCGGCCAGTCAGTCAGCCAGTCAGTCGGCCAGTCAGTCGGCCAGTCAGTCGGCCAGTCTTTCAGTCAGCCAGTCAGTCGGCCATTCAGTCAGCCAGTCATTCTGCCCATCCATCTGATAGTTATGGGCCTTGCTACCCCCTGATTACAGACATGCTAGCATACCAAAATAAATTTCCAACTACAAACTTATTATTATTAATTTTATTCTTACATCACTGTGAATAGGGAAGCAAGGCATACTTGGATGGTAAAGTGAAGGCATCTGTACGTTACTATGGAGAAGCCTTTGAAATGCTCTCACTTGAAAATGCATTTGAGGTGAATCACTATTCTACTCTAATCTGTAGTCAACTATTTATGACTTTAGGGTTCCCCCACTTCAAGCTCCTTCACAAGGCTTAAAATAACAGCTGTTCAATTGTCGGCCATGATGACCAACCAAATTAATTGGCTCAGTCATACCACGTTTCTTCAATCTCATACCTAGAGCCTGCGTTTCTTCTGGCCTGCGGCGAAGAACAAGGGCTCTGGCATAATCCATTTTTTGAGACCAGGATTTCTTGGACTTCCAGTATAAGAGCGCATACGTTAAAAGACTTGCCAAAAATAAAAATAAATATGTTCCCGATTTCTAATTCTTATTTTGATCGAAAGTAAGTTTGAAAGCATGATTTTCATTTATTATGTTTCACTTCCGGAAAACTGCGCATGCGCCAAAAATGGATTATCCCAGAGCCCTCGTTCTTCGCCGCAAGCCAGAAGAAACGTAGGCTCTGGGTATGAGATTGACGTTTCTAAAGATGCTAGAGGCAAAAGTTATGACCGGACCAGTTTCAATCCTAGATGGTCATTGTCTGATGACCAGTCACTATTTTAAACCCTGTCTCTACTTAACTTTGTTTTATGACTCATACGATTCAGTGATTTTATAATTAGAGATTATTTTCCTCATATCTGATTTTGTATCTTTTTTAGATATTCAAAATTAAAAGTATAGATTACATTCTAATTTTATATGCCCACGGCACAGCTTGTCTGGAAACCGGCATTTACAAGGTAAGGTTTTAGGAAAGCCAAGCTGAATGCTTGGAAATAATATTCTGAGATCTTGTGAATTAATCTAGTCTGAACATTCATTACACAAAGTAAAATACGGAAGAAACCATTTGTGTCTTTTGTGTAACGAATTTTAGCGATAGCAACGGATATTCACTAAATATTTACTATTTGTCAGTATGAACTTTGTTTTTATTATATAATTAACTATGAAATTCTCTATTTCAAAAAATTGATATCTTCACACGTGAAAATAACATGTTATTTTCATGTGTGAAGTTAACACCATTGTGATGGCTATTCAAAAATACATGAAAAGAATTGCCTGAAAAAGCCAAAACATACTTCATTGATAATTATATAATAAACAGAATATTACATGGCCTCTTGGAGATACGAATTTTATCTTCACACGTGAGAGATCTTTTCAACACTCGAAGATAAAATTCGTATCTCCGTGCGCCCATGTAATATCCTCTATTCATTTCATGGTTTTTCTGCATGTGCTTTATGTCAATCATAAGATTGTATCAACTTACAGTTTTGGTGTTTGTAATTAGGAACTCCTTGAAGCTACAAAACAGTTTGAGACAATCATTGTCAAGTACAAGGATATCAAGTTCCCATTGGCTTTCTATGGACTTGGAAAGGTCTTTCGACGACAGAACAAGTTAGTAAAACACAACATTTACTCAAATTCTACTTTCTACAGGTGGTATAATCCTATAATTCATTTACAGCCATTCTCAATCACACTCGCTGCTCTAGTGATTGTTTCTGTTGCGACGAAGAAGCTTTTGGTGGATGTCAATCAAGGCGTTTCCATGACATTCTATAGGCACGTGCCCTTATAGCTTTGTGTTTCCGACAATGTTAAAGAAATGCCTTGTGATTGCATCCACCAAAACCTCCTTCATCGCGACAGAAACAATCGCAAGAGCAACATGTGATTGAGAATGGCTGTAGGAGGATCATCAACACCGTAGTGCATTACCACATACAGCTGTAGCCAACAATCAACATCAATCAAAGTCAATCAATTCAGTCAACATCAATGACATAAGTTGTATCTTATGGGAAAATGATTTCCAAAATGCAGTTCTATAAAGGTTTTTCTTCTATATTTTGACTGGCAGCAATAAAAAAACAAATTCGAATGAGCAACTTTAATTACTGAGTTCGCTTAGTATTGAAAATGGCAGTAAAAACATTTTTGGAAAACTTCTCTTGTATCTTTACCCAAATGTTTTTATTGTCCTCACCCACACCCCTCCCCCCTCCCCCCNCCAATTGCTGCCTTGTGGTCTTAGAAAACTAACCTGACCGACCTTAAGATGGAAAAGAACAGAACAGGCGAGGAAAAGAACCCATCACACGGAGATCGGTATAGCGTGGCTGCCTATCATTAATTAGAGACATAGTTGTTCTATATATACTTCTACCACTATCAATAATACTAATACTGAGGTGTTGCTCAGTTAGCTTCTCCCTCCGCAAAAAGCAACTTCTAAAATCCAAATTGATCATGGACTGACAGCAACAGGTTTGTTAGTCACTCGCTCCATAAATTAGGTACTAATTCAATTTTTGGAAAAACGGATTTGTTTTCGCTACCAAATAGTTTGTAGCACTACATTCTCTTAGGTCTTTGATTAACAGAGCTAAAATTCAAAGTGCTGCTTCTTGAACAGATATGTTTTTGCAAAATATTCTCGTCTTTGAAAGGGTGCTCGGATCCAAGCGGTACATTCCTGTATTTGAAGCACCGCTACTACACCCCCATCCCCCATCCCCCATCCCCCATCCCCCACTGATTCAATAAATTGAAGCCACTTAAAAGTTAGAGATTGCTTGGAATAAATCTTTGAAATCTGTTTACCTTAGTTTTTGTTGTGGTTAGGTTTAGTGAAGCTCTTCAACCACTCAACCAAGGATTCAACATGGTGAGATGTGGAGAAGAGTATGGTGAATACAGATGGCCAGGAACACAGACCATTATAGAAGAAACTAAACCAGGAAAACTCAAGGTACACTACAATAGTCTACTTCAGAGATATGCTTCGCTTGTGACACACAAAAGTTTCAGTATGAGGCTATGTGTAAAATTAACAGGGTTCGTGCTACTCCTTGAAATCCTTGAAAAGTCCTTGAATTGAAAACACGTTTTTAAGGGCGCTTGAAAAGCCCTTGAAAATAGGGGAAAATGCCAAAACCCCTGGAATACTCCTTGAATTTAATGCAAACTTAATGTTATTTCTAACTTTCCTTTTAAAATGAATAATGATCAAAATTGATAGAAGAGTTTCTGGATGCTTGTTTACTGGTTGGTTGCGTGTCATGCTCGTTTTTTATCTAAGCTAGTGGCCCCGGCTGAATTAGCTGCACTTTAACATTGAATCAGTGTTTAAAACCACGTTCTAATGCAAAAAACTTTGTCCTTGAAAATCGAATTTTCGTGCTTGAAAAGTGCTTAAAAAGTCCTTGAATTTTGTAACGAGAATGCAGCAGGAACCCTGAATTTAATTTATTCTCTTTTTCTTTCACTAATCACTCAGCATTATGCACAAAGCCTCGCATTAAAACCCTTGTGTGTGACAAGTGAAGCATATCTTGGAAGTGGGCTATTCAAAATATCAAAATATTTGACAAAATTTAATATAATCATTCTAACTTGTAATCTTATTTGTTTTAGGTAGCGTTTGAGGACATCATATCACGATGTCAACATCCACCTAGACCTGATGCTATATGTAGATATAATGAATGTAATGGAGGGAAGATAAATATCTACCTTTCTGATCCTGGTGAGTTAAGTTTGGGGAGGCATGATGGAGGGAGATTAGAATGAATAGGGGAATGGAGTATGAAAGAGAGGAGCCAGGTAGGGGAGGGAGGTAGGGGATTATGAAAATCACCGAACTGTGGAACAGACTCGAGTTTTGTTATGGCAGTGACGCCCACTTTCATATAATAACCCCACCCATATTCATTGATGGGTTTCAAACATCATGGGTGGGTGGGTGGATGGATGGATTGGTAGGTGAGTGGGTGGGAGAGTGGGAGGGTGGGTGGTTTGAAGGGTGGATGGGTGAGTGGGTGG